AAAGTTATGAGCGAGCGATTTGGCTACTGGATAAATTAATTTGCTCTGGAGCCCTCCTTCCTGAGCTAAGACAAAAAATGTATGAGCTGGAGGCTAAAAATCTGTGAGCTAGCTCACACTAACTCAGCTTAGAGGGAACACTGCTCAGCCTTTAGCCGTGCTCAAGCAGTTTGCCAGCGGAAGTGGATCTCACAAAGATGCTAGCTAGAGATCATCCGGTGCAACATCGTTTGCAGAGGTATAGAGTAGCAGTGAGCGCGGGTCTTACGTCTGCTGTCTTTTCTGCAAAGAGCTCTCTGTATAAAACCCGTGACTCACAGGGCATAAATCTCTTGCATGCCATTCATAGGTGATGGACATCAATCTTTTGGCAATGATATCCTGCTTTGCGCTGCATATTCTTGGACGGGTGTGTGCATAAAATATTATCATATTTGGGGAAGCGACTCAATATGAAGCTGGTATGGAGAGCGAAGATTTGTGCTTCCAGTTCCTCTAATGTTAATTTGCGTTGCAATCTGGTTAGGTGTAGACAAGCCCCGTTTTTCTCCCGATTTTATGCAAATAACTAGAAGGGTCGCAGCCACAGAGAGCAAATCTGAGCATGTCCCAATTTGCATTTGTATCCAGAACCTACCTATCCCTCCCTCTTTGAAATACATTCCATTGGCAAGCAAAGGCGTTCCAAGTGGATTCTATCTTCTAATTTAATCACATGTTATCTACTTTGCAGTTCAGGCCAACAGTCTTTAGCGAAGCTAACATCCCAGAGTTGCCTGAAGTTCCTGGCATCTTCTTATCTTTTCGTCAAGAAAGCGACACCGTCGGGTTCCCTACTCCAGGACGGGGTTTCCAGACCAGCCGTGAAGGCATCAGGGCGTGTCCTCGCCGTCTCTAGAGTCGGAGTCGTTCTAATCAGGGAAGACACCGAGAAGCAATCTTTCCGTGTTTAACATAAACAAGCGTTCGTTCCCCATTGAGAAGCGTTAGTTGGATTTTGTGCCTCTTGCTTTGCCCAAGCCTTATTTAAAGACAATATCCCAACATTTTTCTACCTTCTTCTTCAATCCCCCTTCAGAACACTCCATCGTATCGCAATTTTTTCCCCGTCGGGGGTTCCACTGCAGCCTTTCGTTGCCAACAACCTGGAGGGAAAAAAATCTTCCCGCTTTAACAGGAGACTTAATGTGTGGGAATGGGCAGGTGAAACTTTTCAAGACACAGGTAAATGCGATCACCCGTCGAATTACGGCCGGTATTAAAAGGCAAAAACGTCCAGGTTGCTGGAAACCTTCCCCTCTGCAGCAGCGCAAACTCACTCTGGAGGGACCAGGGCGGAGGGCATGAACTGCCTCCAGCCCCCATTTGACCGCACTGACTGTCGCTCTCCTTCTGAACACAGTTGCTTGGGGTCTTCGTCACGTGCCGTGGCTAGGACCTTCTCGGTAGGCTGGTATTACCCTGCCAAGAGGCTTCTCTATCTAATCCAAAATAGAATCCCCCTCACCACTTGGTGATAAGATTCTTCTCGCCACTTGGCAGGACAGCACGATTTACCACTTGCGAAACCAATTACCGCTCGGTTGGCCGGCAGTCCCTCTCACTCCAGCGACTGCAAAGGAACTGGCTTCCCATCTTTAGCATGGGATCAACTGAGATCTTTGGGGCCGACCTCCGCTCGAGTGCTTGCCTGCGACATTTGCTTGTTCCCTTATTTCCACCGCTATAGCCCGATTCAGATGGCCAGGACAGACGGTAGATTGCAAAGTCCTGACCGAGGTGCCAAGGAAGCATTCTCTTCAGAAAGAGGAGTCTTTCTGCAGTTTTGGTCAGACGTTTTAGTCAAACGTTTTAGTCAGACTTTAGGCATGCCAGGGGTAAAGGTAGCTCAGGAAACTCTGAAGACCCCAATAGACCTCTGGGAGCCACCGCCAGAAAAGCCTTTGGAGTATTATCACCCAGTGCCAGTTGATCAGAAAGAATGGAAAGAGCCTGGGAAATGCGACGTGGTGCCATCAGTCCCGGAATCTGGGGCAAAAGTCCCCCCCCCGCCCCCCAGCGAACTGCATTTGAAGCAGACTTGGTGATGACATTCTTCGAACCGTTTGAAAGGGCAACAGGATTTACCGCTTGCTAACGTGTGCGCGGGCGCTTGTGGGTCATAATATCATTAAGTCCAGAATGTGAAGTGATCCACTCCTCGTGGGTTCTTCCTAGCTTGTGAGAGGAGTAAGAGCTACCATTCAAAAATACTTTGGTCTCCGCCATCACACCGAAGGTCCCTTTGTGCTCATTTGGGACCATCTTCTCCATCCCCCTCTTTTGCGGAGCTCTTCCAGCGGTGCCCTGCTCGGAACTCCCTTCTACGCGGATGCGAGACCTTCTCCACTGGCTCCCCCCCCCCAATTATGAAAAAACCTCTTAAAGGGCTGCAAACTAAATCCCCTTTTGAAGTTACTAATGAAACAGGCTTGGGTAGTCCCTCCCCAAAGGAAAAAAGCCGCTTTTTCTGGCCGCCGTGGGCCGTGTCCCTGGGTGCCCTTCGAGGGCTGGCCAAATCCGGAAGTTTCCCGACCACGCTTCTTGCTGAGGTCTAAATAGAGGCCGGGACTGGCTCATATACGCACGTGCCTCTCGGTCTGATGAGTCCCAGTATGTAAAAGTGTATGTGTGTGTGTGGGGGGGTCGTGTTTGATTGGCAACTGAAGGCGACTGTTTACACGACAGGCAAGCATCTGGGTTGCAGAGGTGGAATGATGGGACGTGTGAACCGCTTCCAGGTCGCTCAGGGGAAGTGCCTACATTTTTGAGATTTCCCTTTGGTGGGGGATATGAATCCAGTGCCGCACCTTCTCTCGTCCCTGCCCTTTTCAGGCAGGGTGACCCTTCTCCTTACATTGTTCGGTACCCTTAAGTAATGAGGAAGTCATGGACCGATATCGTTCACTGGTCATTACAAAAATTAAGTTCTAGTTTACCGGGCCACTTAAGCGAAGGGGGAGCCAACGAGCAGCTGAAGTTCTGAACTAGAGAGAGCCATCCAACCGAAATCAAGAATCCCTTAGATTTCTTTAGGTGAGCCGAGCTGCGCGGTTCTGTATCTGTTTACTCAGAAGTAAACCCCACAGCAAGCACTTCCTTAACTTGAGTCTTGAAGTCAACGGGAACGAAATATTAAAATTTGGCCGAAATTTGAGTTTAAAATCTGTTCAATGCGCCCCAGTGCCTGGTTCGGCAGCACATTTGCTAGGATGAAACCAGGCGCTTCTTTCATCTTGACAGTCTGACTCCTGGCCTGCTGCCATTCCACCCACTGTTCGGAAGATCAGAGAACGAGGGTTTCGGACCCAGATAACGCGGGTGGCAACCGACTGGGCCGTGGCTTTGAAATCATTCGGGCCCTCTCCGGCTCCAGAGAAGCTCTTGAGCAACGTATTTATTTAATTGGCAGCAAGTCTCAGTGAGTTCAATAGAGATTCCTCCCAGAGGTGCATAAACCCCACTGATTGCAAAGGCCAAGGCCCCAAATGTCTGTTGTATACTGTCCTGGAAATCAACGGGACTTGCAGCCGAATCCCGGGCGCTTGGTTGTCTTGGGAGTAAGCCCCGCTGAATTCATGGAGCCATTCTCGGGTAAACGTTCCTAGCCCTGAATACAAATATAGCCTCTTGGCTGCATCTTATTGCTGGCCATAGAGAAGTCTATAGGAAGTATTATTACATAATACCGAAACGGCTTAGATTTGCATTTTATCCGACGTTTGCTGCTGCCCAAGACAGGCTCAGATTCATGGAATCGACATGAGGATGATCACTCGTCCAGCATCACTGGGTCTGCGTTATAGTTTAGGTGTTCCTCCCCATCAGCCTTGGCTGAGGTTTTCATGCTGGATTTTAATCAATACCTTCTTGTTGTTTTTAAATTTTGTAAGCGCCTCGGGCAGGCTCCTGGAGAGGTGGCATAAAATAATTCCAAATAAAACAATCAAATAACGGCGTATCGAAGGCTCTGGGAATCCTATTTCGAACAACAACAACAAAGAGGCCGAAACGATTCTGTGTTCCCTTTCAGGTTGCCTACAGGATCTCTCCCCCGCCCTCAAGCTTTTGCTTTCTGCAGTCTCATTCCTTAGTCGGTATTTCGGAAGACGATTGTCTTTAAATGGGATTAACTGGTTGAACCTTTCGGACTCGCCGCCTGGAGTGTAGAAGGACGGGAGAAAGGGTCGCTCCCGGGGCAGGCCAAGGGAGGCATGATTATGTCCCCCTTCTCAGGCGTGATGTGAGAAGCAGAAGACGAACAAAAGGATGGGAGCCAGGGAGGAAGGAAGGGATACGCTGGCGGCTTCTTTCCTAGCAGGCCGCCGGGCCCTGCTGGAGGAGAACCTTGGCAGTTTACCCCGGGGTAGCAGTCCAGGGAGGGAGGGAGGGAGGGAGCCCCATTGACTGAGGTCCCACTGAATAAAATGGGGCTTTCTCTTGAGCTGACCTGCTGAAGCGTGTTCCCTGAAGTCTTTAATCGGTTGCCCCGAGAAGTTGGGCGTGTGACCCCCCCCACCTTTGCGCCAGGGTGGACCGGAGAGCTGTGGGTCCTCCCCCTCCCGGAATAACGGTTGGCGGTGCCCTTCGGGGTAGGGCGGCTGCCCCCGGGGGAGGGAAGATGGGCCGGAGTGAGGGGCTCATTGGCTCGCGCTGGCGGAGAAAGCAGGCGGCTCGGGCGAGGAGGCCGCGCCTTCCAGGCACCGCGGGGGCTGCCCTCACTCCGCCGGGAGAGCTCGAGCCACCGGGAGCGACCCGGGCCGGCCGCGCCGACGGGACCGGCGGAGAGACCGACGACGCCCCGAGGATGGGCCCGGCCCGGCCGCGGTCTCTCCCTGCCGGGGTGGGAGCGCCAGACCGGGGGCTGCGGCTGCCGCTGCGGCCGCTCTGAGGCCGGCGGGCTGGGCTGGGCGGGGGTCTCGGGCGGGCTCCCGGCGAGGAGGAGGAGGAGGAGGAGGAGGATGCAGCACCCGCTGGAGCTGGGCGGCCCGGCCCACTACTTCCCGGCCGAAGCCTTCGTCGACCACCGCTCGCACCGCTACCGGAGCTTTATGATCGAGGAGATTCTGACCGAGCACCCGGACGCCAAAGGCGCCGCGCCCGCCGGGGAGCTGCTCAAGTTCGGCGTCAAGGCGCTCCTCTCCGCGCGGCCCTACCACAACCCCCTCGGTAAGGCTTCCCCGCGCCGACCTTCGCCGGGCCAGGTGGGCCGGGCGGCCTCTCCGGCGCCGGGGGGCGGCGGGGGGGGCGCGCTCGGGTCTCCTCCAGCGCTTGCGGGCTTGCTTCGCCGCCGGGGCAGCTCCCCTCTCCGGGTTTCCCAGCCACCGTTTGGCTCCGTGGCAACCAAGGCTGGATTCCCCTCCCCCCTCCCACGGGGGTGGGGTGGGGGGAGAATGATATCGGCCGCCTTGGGGTCAATGGAGCTGTCCTACGGGCCCTTGCTTCGCCGCCGCGGCAGCTCCCCTCTCCGGGTTTCCCAGCCACCGTTTGGCTCCGTGGCAACCAAGGCTGGATTCCCCTCCCCCCTCCCACGGGGGTGGGGTGGGGGGAGAATGATATCGGCCGCCTTGGGGTCAATGGAGCTGTCCTACGGGCCAGAGTGGTCGGCTCCGGCGAGCCTAAGAACCAAGGCGGGCCCAGAGACTTCAGAGCGGGCGGGCTGCAGACGGGTCTTTCACTCTATTGGACCTCAGGGCTGGGATCAGTGAGATTTGCCTCCGTCCTGACTCCCTGTGTGCTCAGAAAGGCCGAAGAAGGGACATCCGCTGCCCTTCCTTTCGACCTCGACCACGAAGCGGTTAAACGCCCTTCTCCGGCCACGAACCCCCTCGCATACTAAAACGACGCCGTTTGAAAGCAGACTCCCACTCCAGCCAAGGTAGATCTGCCAGACTCAACCGCCTGAGAAACAGGGAGGGAAGGGGCTTTGGCGGGGGAGGGGATCCCAGTGTCTTCACAAAGTCAGCGAACAGCCCGGCCCGCAACAGTGCTTGAATGCGAAGCAGGCGGCCGACCAGACATTTGGTCCCCGCAGGCATCAAAGAAACCAAACGCGTTGGCGGATGCCGTAGACCCCGCGGGACTCAG